GAAACCGAGCTTGCATATGTCTACCATTGGTCGCCATTGACCATCGCGGAATTGACAATATGGCTGCCTAATGAGGAACGAATTTGCTCTTTTCTTTGATTTAAATATAGTTTTTATGAAATTCTAAAGTCATATTTATACATACTGTATATAAGCAGATGATTTATGTAATGTATATAATGATAGTAATGAACTAACTCATCACTAAACAACTTTGGCTACTGAGAAACATTTATTTCGTTATATACTAACATTTCAGCTTAATGCACAGGCCATTCTCAGATGACTAATTATTGGACCATCAGTTACAGACTGTTCGAAAATAGAATTCAACAAAAACAGAATATTAAATTTTAAATATTCGAATATAAACAACACAAGAAATTAAAATTCTAATACTGTATAAAAGTAACATAAAAATTCTATAAATAATATAAAATTTTATCGTGAAAGTGCTATTGGTTAATTCCAAACCAGCAGTGCGAAAAAAGAGTCATGAATGGGATATATGTAAATGTATCAAAAAATAATCTTTTTCGCTAGCTATCAGTGGCGCATTTCGAAATATGGTGTCCCTAGACCTACAATATGCNATTATATATAATATAATATTATCTGTATCCATTAAAAGTAAAAGCAAAATGTTCCGTCACCGTCAACCGAACGAAACCATCACTTTACAAAAGTATGCTATAAATAGGCTCAAATGTGCCTGGATGAAATATAACCGAATCAATCAAGGCGGACAAAAGTATTTTATCCACATTTTCCGAAATATGTTTCATTTAATTTGATTTAAATTTTAATTGTAATTTACATTAATTAATTAAATAATTTTAGTTTTATTTTAAATTTTAGATTAAGTTTCGGTTTCGATGTAAAAACCAGAGTTTTAATTATTATTTCATTATTGTTAGTTATAATTAACTGACTACCTAATATTTAAAAAAAATTCATGTGCGTCATGGCTTTAGTCAGTTCCATAACGAAGATCTTGCTAAACCGATGATGAATAATAATGATGAAGGACTGGCCTGGTGGTAGGACGAAGTTCGATATATCCAGAACAAATCGTCCCGAAAATTTCTGGATTAATAAGGACGCTTCGCAATTTTGTGTCGTCCTTGTTTAGGCCAGATCTGGAAAGATTAGGGACAGTAGGCCCTGATTAAGTATATACGAACTTCTGATACAAACCGAAAGTCATGTTAGTTCAATTCAAATTTTATTACCTGAAAGGAGTTAGATAGATGACAAGCACTACTCTGTTGCTAACGGAAAAGTTTGATATACAGGTGCAAGACATTACAGTACTAATTTCAGCTGGAGAGTATTGTGTAAAAATTGTAGCCCGGAATTGTGACGATGTCACAATAAATAATTGCTCGTTATTCATTTAATTATATAATTAGGCCTATATAATTAAATGAACAAAAAGTTAAATAATTGACTTTAATTTATATATTTTTGTATTTGGAAAATTATTTACACTTATTTTATGGTAATTTAAATTCTATATATAGAAATAATAGAAATAAATATTAAACTGAATTGACAACTGTACATTTACATAGAACGTTGCCAAGCAACCGAAGAATCGATCATAAACAAACATTCGATAAGAATGAACTAATTTTAAAATGTCAAATNTGATTTTCCGACATGAACGAAAATTTTACATACACGGATCCATAATCTGATACGAGATAAACCGAAACAAGACATTACATTTGTGTACAATACAATTAGTGCTGTAGCACTACACTGCTAACTGGGATTAGGTTAATTGTGATTAATCCGAACCCGAGAAGAGAAGGGGACTTCTCCATTAACATAAATACGGAGCTAGATAACGAGGTGGGATTATGGAAGTTGGACCATCTTGATTGTGAGTTAAGGAAAGGGTGATCGATGTGTTAAAAAGGTATCCAAATGCTGTAGCTAACGATATTTCCGAGTTATCGGGAATCAAGGATTACACGCATTCCCTTGAGTTGGTCTTGAGTTGATTTCAGAACGCTAAATTAATGTGAAGCAATACCGTATCCCTTATAGCTACTTGCCAGGACTCAGAAGGCAAATTAATGACCTCCTTAAGGTGGGGATATGCGAACAGAGCACATCAGAGTGGAATTCCCCGATACACGTGGTTCCGAAGGACTCTGGTGAGCTCCACATCACCCTAGATTTAAGAAAGGTAAACGAAATAACGAAAACGCAAGTTTTCCCGATAGCTAGAATCGATGATATATTGTCCCAGCTTAACGGGAATAAATACTTTTCTGTCCTAGACCTAAAGGCGGGATACTTTCAAATCCCCTTGGATCCCGAGGAGAGGCATGTTTTTGCCTTTTCCACACCTTGGGGTAAGTACTAGCTTTGCGGGATGCCTCAAGGGGGAAAACAGTGGGAGGTTTTTTCAATATATCATGGCGAAAATTTTGGCTAAATTCGTGGAGAACACTTGTTTCGTTTTTCAAGACGACATTGTATTGTTTTCCCAAACTTTAGAGGACCACCTGGAATTGATCGACCGCGTAAGAAATACCCTGGATAGCGAAGGCCTTAAACTAAACCCGATGAAGTGCCAGATACTGGCCGAAGAGGTGAATTATCTAGGGCACAAAATTAATAGGAAGGGGGTGCATCCGGATCCAAGTAACGTCGAGTCCATAAGAATGGTGAGAGTGTCAAAGGTGTCCGTAATTTCCTTGTCGCGATTGGTTTTTTTCGAAATTTCATACCGTCTTTTGCTGACTTTGTAACGCTTCTTACCGAGTTAACAAAAAAGGGGAGAAAATTTGTGTGGGGCCCAGAGTGCCAACGGGGATTCGAAAAGTTGAAGGAGGCCATCGCCAAGCTGCCATTATTAGCACACCCCGATTTTAATGAGCCTTTTTCTTACACACTGATGCTTCTAAGATAATAGCTGCCGCAGTGCTCGAGCAACGCAGAGAAGGGTGGTTAGTACCGATTGGCTACTTCAGTAAGAGGTTTCAAGGGGGCTGAAGTTAATTATTCCACCATAGAGAAAGGGAGAAAAATAATTATGGCCTTGAGACATTTTAAATTTCTAATATTGGGGCAAAGGACAATAATTCTCTCCGATCACAAACCACTGGTTTTTCTTAGTAACATCAAAAACGGAAGCAATCGCTTAATCAGGTGGGTGGTGGAGCTCATGGATTACGACATCGAGATGCAACATGTTAAGGGCGTGAACCATAAGGTTGCTGATTTTTTATCGAGAAATGTTGATGGAGTATACCATGTAGAGGTAGGGTCTACGAATCCTTCTGTTCCTGATAAGTGCGAAATACGTTTGTCACAAGACAGAGACGAATTTTTTGGACCCATTAAACGGGATCTATTGAGAACACCTGATGCTAACGACATAAGAAGTAGGATGCCCCAGTATGTAGTAGTGAACGAATGCTTATATAGGCAAAGATATTTTAGAGCCCGCGACCAGTGTTCCAGTCAGATATGTGTGGGGGAAGAAATTGTCAAGGAGTTGATTAAGGCAATTCATAATGATAGCCTGGCAGGGCATTGGGGGTTACGGAAGATGATGAAGAACATCGAAAAACGGTATTATATCCGAAATCTAAAAGATAAGGTGGAGGAAGTCGTTAGGTCATGTGAAAGGTGTCAGAGGCACAATCTCCACAAGGGGAAGGCTCCATTTCAGGAGAATGAGGTCGCTAATGCCCCTTTCCAAAAGATTGCCGTCGACATTATAGGGCCCCTTAGTACGACGAGTCGGGAGAATAGTTTTATCCTTGTTATTATTGATATCTTCACTAGGTTTGTAGAGGTTCATCCCTTAAGAGATCAAACAGCATGGTCGGTTAGCAATGCAATTTTTAACGCAATAATTTGCCGTTATGGTGCCACCGAAGTTATCATCTCGGATAGGGGAACAAATTTCCTTTCATCCCTGTTTTCCGATTGTTGTAAGTGGCTTGGGATCAAGAGAAACATTACTACAGCATATAGGCCGTCCTCAAATGGGTTATGTGAAAGGATTAACAAGTCACTAATAGAGATGATATCAAAGTCCTCAGAGAAGGGAGGGGCGGATTGGAACGAGATAATTTATCCGGCATGTTTCGTTTATAATAACTCTCACCAGTCGGCAATTGGCGTGTCGCCGGCGTTCCTTTTATATGGAATAGACCCCCGCATTCCAAATTTCGAACAACACATTGATGAAAGAACGACTAACGAGCATAGAACGTTTCTCATTACTAAACTTCGTGCTCTAAGGAAGGCGGCAGGGAAACGCGCTGCCCAATTTAACGAGAAAAGAAGAGAGTACGGGAGTAAGGGAGGGAAGTTAAAGAAGTTTGTGGTGGAACAAAAGGCGTGGTTAAAAAGAAAAGGGGTAAAGAAAAACAAGTTCGCGGATAAATACAAGGGACCTTTTCGTATCATAGAAGCTGTGAACCCTACTACGTACTGTGTGGAAGGATGTAGCTTTAGGGACAGGGAGACTGTCCATGTTGATCGTATGAAGATATGCTACGGGCAACCGGCAAAAAGAGCCAGGTACGGGGAAAGAAAAAGGGGAAGCAAGAGGGAATCTAGGGATCATGAAATAGAGGATGAAGAGGAGAATCAGGATGGGAGGTAGTACAGTGACATTAGAGCAAAGGATGTTGGCAACGTCGATTTGCATAGGGATAGCGCTGTTAAAGGTGTAAGTAGGGAGCCGTATAATTTCAGGCATCGAGAGATTGACTTCCGTAGATTACACTACGGTAGTTAATGTGTTCCAAGGGAGATATGTAGCACTTCGTGGCTATTATGTAATATATATATATTTTTTGTTTATTGTTTTCCGTTTATGTCGCGTCGCGCGTATGTTTTTGTACAGATCCTGTTCCGTTTCCTTCCTCGATACCACCTGTTATCTGATGGCTGAGTTTCGATGGGTCCGTGACAAGATCACGTGGGACAGTCACGTGGGTTAGCGGGAGGTACAAAAGTGCGTGTAACGGATGTAAGAACACGTTTTTCTCTCGAAGAAACTCAAGTCATCGTTTACGTAAAACACTGTGATAAACGAAAGATTTCTACGAAATACAAAGGTAGAACACAAATATATAAAAATAATACAAGACAATAATCAAGTCTCATCATTATTAACTTCACAGTACTTTCCCTAAAAATCTTTGAAGCTTTTACCAACATATTTAAGATGGCAGATAAGGATATTCCTGTTAGAAGTTATGCTGATGCTTTGAAGATTGCCAAAGATGCTGGAGCCAGCACTACTATCACATACTACCCATCTCTGCTAACACATGTACCTCGATGCAATAGTTTTTTTCAAAGAATGGCAGGTTGCCCATACAAGGAAAGAAGTGCAATCTTGGGTGATTACTTTAACCTTGTTTCTCGAGGTGCTGCACCAACTGCTGGTATGCTCTGGCTACACAGTCCAACATTCTTTAATGCAGCAACTAATGCTCTCACCGATGACATAACTAGACCCTTAGACCAGATATATGAGAACTTTGTGAATGGTGAGGTAGGCACAAAGGACTCGCTAAGAAAATATAAGACTGCTGCCACTGCCTTTAGGAAAAATTTAAGACAGGAACTTAACTATCCTGAATTCTTAGCAATAGAAGGTAGGACAGTTGCAGAAGTGTTTGCTAACCAGTCTGTATTAACATACTTAAACAAGATGTTAGAGATAATGAAAAAGCAAAGGGCAAAACGATTAGCTAGTGGTGGTGCAGTCAAAAAACCATGTCCTGCTTATGTGGATGATTTTATATTCTGGCTTGAAAATCCAACACTAGATTACATTGGAAGAGTACCCATTGATAAGAGACAGGCCACATTCAGAAAAGAAGCAATAAGACTACCAGGAGAAGATGATAGGAATTTCAATGGTCGTGGTTTCCTTTTACTCTCCACTGCCATTGCTTACCATACACAGAAACGGGATAGTGCATTCATAGATAAGATTAATGTGCCTGATAACTCTCTGGTCCAAACTGCAGTGAATGAAGCAAAACTTTTAGTAGCTGGACTGGAAGTACAGGAGGCCAGCCTGTTCCAGCAACAAATAGCAGCTGCCGACATTATTTTCAACACTTTTTACTGGCTCAAGAAACTAGGAGTACTAGACAGAAATGCATATAAACTAGTCAATAAGTTTATGTACATCATAGGCACAGCACCTATTGGTACTAAAAAAAGAGCAGAATTGGTGAAGACAAGTAGGAGTAGTTTAATAAGGAAATTTTCAGATTTTACAACTGTAATCACTAACATCTATACACCTCCGTTCATATGCACCTATGGAAGGTTTGATGACATGATACCAGTGATGGGTTCTGTGTGTGTCACTGACTTTGAAAAGTCTTTGCATAAACAGGCATCTAGTAGGCGAAATAATATAAATATGAGACTGGATGCTGATGAAACACTTCGGATTGTCACAGACCTATTTGCTCTGGAAGAGATTGCCAATTGTGCAGAAGGTGCAAACATCTATCGCAGCTGCCATTTACTTCACCAATTACTATTTTCCAAAAAGTCGCCGTATGAATATGCTGCAAACAAAATAGGGAATGCACTTCAAGTTAGATTTTATAAACGAGGTTCAATCTTTGAGCATCAAGCAAAGCCATCTACCAGTGGAGCTGTGGGCACCAGTGGTACTACTTGTGGAACAGAGTAAAAAAAGAGAACAGAGCATGGCACTGGAAGTAGCCAAATTGACTAAAAGAGGTCATGGGACAAGAACATTAACTAGCAATGTCACTAGTTATGTTCTTGTTTGTAAGTTAAGTCAAGTCGCTTATCTTAAAATAATGTTAATTTTAGTTTTCGTGAGTGTGCACTGTGGATGGAAGAAGATATGTAGCAGAGAGGAGAGTCAACCATCACCAGGGTTAAGGAAGTTACAGTGCTGAAAGAAAATCTGTTTCCATTGAAGAAATAACGAAAAAGGAAGAGGACTAACTATTGTGTAAAGATCATCAACAGTTGTATCGTTTGTAAGTTGATTGGGTACTCTGTTTCCCAAATTTTTCTTGTGAAAATTTTTGTCATCAGATTTATACCGCTTGTCGGGAAAAGCAGGGCCTCATGTTAGGAAGGAAATTTAGAAGGAGTAATATCTAGCAATATTATTATTGTGACGCTATCAGTTTCTATTATTGAACTGTGTATTTGTATTAATATTGTACCGTGTTTTTCGTTTCAAATAAACCTTTGTTTGTCAAGTTACACATTTTCACTGACTATTCATTATCCTTCCCTTTGTTTCATTCATCTTTTGTCTAAAACCACAGATCATGTGCCTTGCGGAGTTTACCAGGTGATTCTATAGGCAACATGCAGGACAAGAAGGGAAATTTAGGGAGCATGGAATGGTTAAAAAAAAGGATGTTAAATATGTGATGATAAAGGTTTTTTGAGGTTGGTGCAAGTGTTTAAGAAACTCCTTCAAAAAGAAAACAGGGAACAGAGAATGATGACAAGAGTGCAGAATGCCTGGCTGTTAATCAGCGATTACACTAGACATAAGATATTCTGAGTAATTTTGACTCATTGATCACAGGAATGTGAGTCAAATGCAAAGAATTAAGATTCAAATTTAAGAAATCTAACAATCCACGAAAACGAAAATCCACAAAAATTGTTATTATTCAATGCAGTGTTAGGTTGTTGGAAGTTGTTTATCTTAAGAAATCTATTTCCTGATAATCATTTATTTCTTATAACTAAATATATATTTATGATTGAGTTTAATTCAAATTTCTTACAATAATACAAATCTTAATTTAAAGTCTAATAGATAAGAATGTTACAAGTTAAAAAGATTATTTCTTTCTTCCTTCTTTTATACATTCAAATGCTCCAATAGCCTTTCATTTGGAAACTGAAAAATTGATGAGCCATTTAAGATGATTGTCATCAAGGTTTTTATATTATCTTCTTTCAAACAGCTTTGAGAGCACTTAATCCAATTCCCTGCACTAAATGCTCTCACATGAAGCACTGTTCAAAACTAGAACACAAGTGTGATCTTGCTCCACTGTATTTATCAATCATGGTTTCAAATTCATGGTTTAAGCTTTTAATTTATTTACATTTTCACAAAATTTTATAATTTACAAGTACTAATTGTAAAATGTCTTAAATTATTTTCCATTTCTACCTTTATCAAGTTGTCAAATTAATCTGTTCTTAGAAGTTATATATTTTTGTTTGTTATTTGTTAAATATCTTTTAATTACTTAATAATATAAAAGCAATTGATAAAAGACTAATATATACAGGTATACCTCAACTTACGTCGTTTTGAGTTATGTCGTTCCTGGTTATATGTTGTTTGACAAAAAAGTATATGGAAAAATAAAAATCAAGTTTAAGTCATTTTATTCGACTTTACATCTGTCCGCCAAAAATATTGAAGTCGTAATGTCACTAGAAAAGCATTTAAAGCACATAAAATCACATCCTTCCCTTTGTAATATTAAAATATATAACATTAAACCTTAAAATATATACATTTACAAGTATGTACTGTATTTACAGTACATACATTTGTAAATTTAGATTACTTTTTTCTGTACTATATTAAAAACTAAAATTTATTTGTTTGTAAGCTTAAAATAGATTCTTATTAACCATATATTATTAAAAATGCATTAATAAATAAAATACAGAACCGGGAATGGTTAATTTATGGTTTAGCCTAGTGACAAGTAGATTCGGAGACAAGTAAATTCGACTTACGTCGTT